GATAAAATCAATTGATGACAAAAAGATGATTTAAGAATTATTGGCGCCCAACGTGGGGCCATCTTCGGCTTGCCCCGACCAAGAAAAAAATATTAAAAAGTCATCAACTGCTATGCGAGCTGCATATCCATGCAGTGTCGTTAGACTTATTCCCACTGCCTTTAATTCCTCAGATATTTAGATGGCCTGTTCAGTGTCTAGGTGGTTGACGTTGAGTCGCTGGATTGTGTAGCAGTTTCTAAAAGAACTGAAACCCCCGCACGGACGTGTAACTATAAAACTGGATATTGTTGAGGACATTTAGTATCTGACAGGATAGGAAACTCCGCTAAATGGCACTTTATTCTGTTTCGTTTGGAAATAGGTTTTCAAGTGGACTAGATCTACTGCCTACCCAAGAATAGATGAATGTGTTAGTGAGAGGAGAAACTTGTCCGTACCTTGCGGATCATTGTCTAAAGTTTAGCTTGGATCAGGTTATTCAGTGGCGTAAAGCTACGGCCTGCCCGCGATCGAAAGCAACAGCATCAGTAAAGGTACATTCCCGGAGTTAGCATAGTCCTTTTCCTTTCCCCCATTTTGTGCGAAGTTAGTTTTTGTGTGTGACAACCATTAGTAGCTCTTTGGGTGGCAATGCTACAAGTTCCGATTGTAGTATACGGTGTTGACTGTATGCAACTTTGCCTTGAGAGATTCTCAAGAGTGTGCTTGGAGTGTGACCAGGGTTGCTGATAACGTGGCTCTCATGTACTGTGGTTCTGGATAACTTGGTGGTCCGCAATCCAGAACTTTCTTGTGTTGGGTAACCTACAGTATATCGAGACAGCCATTGGTTAGTCAGGGTTTTTCGGATTACTCGGATATCCGACAGTGGTTCAGAACTACCGTATGGTCCCAGATCCAAAGACCCATTGTATTAATTGTTTATTGTAAATACCATCAGATAGTCCGTTGGGGACACTTTTCCGTTATACAAACGTGGCATGGTTTCCGAATTTTTTTGTTGAGAACGTTTATAGAATATCTCGAACGTGTTAGTTAACCAATGAGTGTAGAATAGAATTTGTTTAAAATGAGTTAACCAGAAAATAATGTCTCTAGATTGGAGTTTTGAAGAAATTGATCAAAACGACAATTCAGCCTTAATCTGTTGCATCTGTGTGCGAAGGGTGGAATACCAAACACAGTTGCTAAGAACTGCGTGTAATCACGTGTTTCACTTGGCTTGTTTTAATACGAGACAAGGTGCAAAGACAGTGTGTCCTGCTTGCAACGAGTCCCTTCAACCAGCTGGTCCTAGCCTAGCTGAGGAATTAGCGGTAGCCCAGGCTACCGTCTTTGGCGTACCTTCTTCTCAGGCTCCCATGAGAACCCGTTCACAGGGTTTGCGAGCAGAGCCAGCTGCGATTGTTGAAGATTTGGCTGTCGGTCCCTCGAACGTCGTTCAACCCAGAATGCCAGCGCCGAGAAGCGAACCAGCTGATGCCGCCAGCGCAGGCTTGGCTCAAATGTCACAGGCGCTGACAGACGCCATGGCTCAGATCAGTTTGTTGTCTCAAGCCATGACCAAAATGACTCAGACAATGGAAGTAGGATTCCAAAGTTTGGCAAGTCAACCAGCCGTTCCTCCCACTAACCAAGCTAATGGAGCCTCAATACCTAGTGGAGAAACCCAAACATTTGAACAATTGTTTCAAATTCCTGCTCGAGAGTCCTTTGGTTCCCAAGTCAATCAGGCCAACGACTCTAGAGCATCGGTAAACGCTTGGGGATCCCAGCAGATTACCGGATTAAGACCCGATAGGATTGGGCAGATCATTTCAGGATGGAAGGTGCGTTTTTCCGGACAGTCGTCTGTGTCGGTAGAAGATTTTATATACCGCATAGAAGCTCTAACCAAGCAGACCTTAGAGGGAAATCTTGACCTAGTGGCCAGAAATGCTATTTACCTTTTTGAAGGCAGTGCTAGCGAGTGGTTTTGGCGCTACCACAAAAGCGTACCCTCCGTGAACTGGCCACAGCTAAGTACCGCCTTAAAAACTCGTTTTATTGATGGGCGTACGGACTTGGAAATTCGTGCGGCCATAGGCAACGAAAACAGAAGGCCAACGAACAGTTTGACGTATTTTACGAAGCCATTGTAGCATTGGCCGATAAATTAGTCACTCCCATGTCCGATATGGCATTGTTGGAAGTGCTAAAGGCGAATTTGTTGGCAGAGATCCAACATGAGATTTTATATATCCCGATTTTGTCCGCAGCTCAATTGCGAAACATCGTGCGCACTCGAAAAAGGTTCATGCAGTCACTAGCTAAGCCTTTTATCAGTGCTGAACCCAAACGTATTCCTATAAGACGACAGGTGCACGAAATTGCAGTAGAGACCGACCAGGAAGATGAACCTGATGACGAGGAAACAGAACTGGTAGATATCGCGGCAGTTACCATTTCCTGTTGGAACTGTGGTGAGCAGGGTCATCGCTATCACGACTGCGTAGGTGAACGAACTGTATTTTGCTACGGCTGTGGCAAACGGGATACGTATAAACCGTCGTGCCCTAAGTGTACCGCTTCAAAAAACTCCTGGAGTCGTGCACAGCCGACAAGTGCACGCAAACCAGTCAGTTCGAAAGCCACGAACACCAACTAATGGACGTTTTAACGGATCCATTACTCCCTGACGTATCCAAACTACCAGACATTCCTTTACAGACTCCTTTGTTACCCTCGGAGCCAGTAAAAATTGGTCTCCCGAACCGATCTCGCAAGCGATTGCTCAAATTCCGACAAATCTGGAAAGACGAGCGATCAAAGGTGATAGCGACAGTGGTGAATACGTCTAAGGACTGGCGACCCTATGCGCAAGTCACCGTACTAGGGAAGACGCTTAGTGGACTGATGGACACAGGTGCTTCAATCAGTTGTATAGGTGGATCTTTTGCAGCCGACCTAGCTCGGGATCCGACCCAGTTCAAGCCCGCAAGAGCAGCAGTACGTACCGCAGACGGCCAGAGCCAATCAATAATTGGCAAAGTTACGACAGACGTCTGCTTCCAAGGCCGAAGTAAAACCCTAAAACTGTTCATAGTCCCATCCCTGGCGCAAGACTTATATCTGGGCATAGATTTTTGGTCCAGTTTTGATTTGTTACCAGCGTTTATAGCCCATAAGTCATCCGGTCCAGAGATTTCATCGGTATCGTTTGATAGCCCGTTGCATGTGCAATTGTCCCAGCAGCAGCAAGAAAGTTTGTTAGCAACGGTCAATTTGTTTCCATCCTTTTCCAAAATTTAAATTTAGCTTAAGTGTAGTTTTATACATTTTCAGAAATCCTGCAGAGGCTACGCTAAATGTACATTTAAATTATATTTCCTTCAGGGAATATTCCAGAAACGATGTAGGAAATTTGTCTACTTCTGACTAGAGAAAGACAGTATCATCATTTCAGTATCGAAATCATTTTCGTACAAAAAAAAATTATTGTCTTTGAGTTGAGAATAAAACCTAATAAACGCGAACATTTATGTAACTAAAAATTTGGAGACTTTTCGTGTTCATCCAAAAAAAAACAAATTAAAGAAGTTCTGCATCCGTTGGTGGTTCTGGTGGCAGCTGAACAATGACAATAATGGGCACCGCCGCTTCCAATGGCTGCTGGTCCATGTTCTCCAGCGGCATTTCTGACTCTCCCTCGGGGAGAGCTCCTTCGGCCTGATTTTCTGGCCCATTTACATCAAATTGTTCTTGTACAGGTTCATCCAGATTTATTTCTGGCTCTTCGTTGGTCTCCTCGTTGATCTCCTCTACTACAAAAGGCTCCATTGACACATTGACAGTTCATCCGTAGACATACGAATTTTCTCGCCCTCACTTTTACTGTCGCCCTTGCCCTCGATTTTCTCTTTTTGAGTTTTTCCTCTTCCTTTGGTTCACCATTCTTGGTGGCTGGATCTAGGGATGTGGCGGCGACTGAGACTGAGTCTGCGTCTGCTTTTGTTGACTGCTCCTTCGATTCTTGCTGAAGTTTTGCCTGCTTGGCTGGTGGCGACTGCCCTGACCAGCGGGATCCGACTGGCCGAATAGTTGTTATGGTTGTTAGTGCCGAACTCGCAGCCGTGGCATTTCCACTGGCTCTCGCCAAGACTAGAGGCGGCCAATGGCGGATCATGGCAATCGCGGTGGTAGGAATATACGCACTCAGAGCAGATGGCCAGATCTTCACCCTTAGTACCGCAAACGCGGCAGTAGCGGCAAGCCGGGAACTTGTATTTCTTGCGTGCAACGGCCAGGACATCACATTTCAGCGGAAGGCAGTTAAAATGCCCTGGAAATGCATAAACAAATACATAGATGTAGAAAAGTGTGCAGGCGAGCATTGAGTTGGATGGCGGGGGCACTTACATTTTTGCTGGCAACTCTTGCATGCGAGAAAATTACTCTTGTGACCAGAGCCACGCTTCACTTCCATTTTTCTGCACTTTTGGCACACATCGAACTGACGAAGCGGCTGGCCTGGCTGACCGAATTCCACATCTTGGGCATCACTAGTGGCGACTACTTCTGGCTTGGGCACAGCCTCCGCCACAGGCGGTGTAACTGCCACTGGCACTGCGACTGGGGCTGGGGCTGGAGCCGGCAAGTGCGACGCTTGCACAGTGGCATTCGCTGGCGTGGACTTGGGACTACACAACTACAGTTGTGCTAGCCAGTTATGACTACAGTTGCAGCAGCATCGTTGCTGTTGCTGCCAGTGCTTGAATTCAAGGAAAGGAATTCATAGCTGGTAGGGAATAGGGAACGGTTGGCTAATACTCCGATAATCCTTGAGATAATGGTGCATACTCGTAGCCGAAAAGCTTACTTAAGCGTGGCCCCACGATATATCGGACTAGCCGGCCTGCTATACCTGTCGACTGAAGACTGAGCTGCACTCAATACAAGAAAAGACATTGAACTCTGATCAGCCAATGGTGGCTGATTTAATCTAAGCAAAAACCAAAAATAATTGAAAATTCAGCAAAAATGTTTCTTGTTCGAATGGGTGGGCGTGGCATCACTACTGGCGCCCTGCTTTTCCTGCTGCTTGATAAACGCCATGAACTGCTCGGCATTCCGCTTGAGTCCGCTGGGCACACTCTGTTGGGTGGTGGAAATGTCCACAGTTGGGGTGCGGGCGCAGAGGGTCTGCAGCGTGAGGGAATCGTCAAGTTGTAGCTCGACATCGAAGAGCTTCGCCTTGTCCACATCTGCAGTTCTCTGGCTCTAATTTCGCCTGCCTGCGTCTCTGCTGCAGTTGGGTCAACCGATTCACCTCCGTTTGGGCAGCTACCAAGAGGCCTTTGTGCCGATCCAGCTCCAGGCGCAGCGCATCCCGTTTGGATATAAACGGATGAATATTCTGCTGTAGCTGCAAATAGCTTTTGGCCAAATATTGTTTCACTGCGCCCCATTTCTGTTCCATTTGCACAAGGCGCAGCTGCAGTCGCGTTTTCTCCTCATACAATGTGGCCACGGTATTTAGTGTCTCGTGCTCGTGCTCAATCAGCAGGAGCAGCTCCTTGTTCCGCTCTTCCAGTTTCTTTTGCAGCGTGACAAAATCATCTTGACAAATCAAACCCACGCGAGACTTATTATTCTTGAGCGAACTGATCTCAGCCACGATCTCCTTCATGTGCCTATTCAGCTGGGCATTGGTGTGCTCCAAGGTCGCCTGCCTGGCCTCCAGCTGCGTGATGTACTGCTGCTGGTGCACGTTCTCTGGCTCCAGCTGATGGCATCGAATCTGGGCCAGTTTGAGCGAATCCTTCAGCTCATGTATCTTGAGCTCCTTCTCCAACACCATGGCCTCAAAGTCCGACTCCAGGGCGTTGTATCGCTTTTTGATTTTATCGAGGTCGATCTTAAGCTGGGTATTGCACTGCTCCGCCCACTTCTTCTCCTCGCGCAGTTTATCGAGGCGGCTCTCCAGACTCCGGCGTATCACCTGCGTGTCCGCCAGTAGATCCTCCTTGGACCCTTCATCCAGAAACTCCCTGCCTTCTGGCTTCACCTCGGGTGCCGGACTCTTGCCCGGTTGTCCGCTCGTGTCGCTCATTTGCTACGAAAGTGTTGAAATTATTTAATACGAATTTAATCTTATTTTAAATTTATTTTGTACCACTTCAATTTTGTACTTGTAGACTTCCATTTGTACTTGTAGACTTCAATTTTGTGACTCTTAGGTTGTGGATTCGGTCAACGAATCTGACTAACTGAATATTCCCAGTCGAATTTGTTGCTCAAGGCTACTGGCCAGCCTGCTGGGTTTCCTCTGCTAAACGTACAAAAAGTGTAGCCAAGTAAGCATGTGATTTGGATCTTTATATACCCGTACTCAAAAAAGAGTTAAGGGGTATATTAGATTTGTGGTAAAAGTGGATGTGTGTAACGCAGAGAAGGAAACGTTTCCGACCCCATAAAGTATATATATTCTTGATCAGCATCAAAAGCCGAGTCGATAGAGCCATGTCTGTCTGTCCGTCTGTCCGTCTGTCTGTCTCGATGAGCGCCTGGATCTCAGAGACTATAAGAGCTAGAGAAACCAAATTTGGTTTCCAGACTCATGTGATATCACACTGCTACAAGTGTACTTCAAAATTTCGCCCCGCCCCCTTCCGCCCCCACAAAGGACGAAAATCTGTGGCAGCCACAATTTTTAAGATACGCTTAAACGCAGTATCGTAGAGAATGACCATATCTACCAGATTGCCGAATTTGAATCAGATCGGATCATAATTATAGCCAGAATGTATGTATATGTAGATAACAGATGTAGCAAAAAAACGTAATATGTATAATTTTTTTTTTTCTAAAATTCTAAAAAAATTATATGCTCAAAACTGTATATACTGACTGAGTACGGGTATAAGTAGAGTCGCGTCCCCAGAACATACGTTCCTTCTCGTTTTCTTATCGCGTTGTATGGCATTGGACTCGTCGATGCTCCAGGATCAGGAGTTTGCGTACAGAATATTCGTTCAGGCATCAAAACGCAATAGGGGCCTGATTATATTTCATTTTGAGATCATACGTCCGAACACCCCAAATGCACTAGCGCGTATGAAAAAATTCCCTTACGCATTGAACATTCTACATTAGATATTATCCCGCAATAGGCTTTTCTCCAACTTTACTTCCAGATAAAAATGAATGGTGCAATTTAAAAGTATTTCGGGGATAACTACGTCAGGCTAGTGACACAAATCACAAGCTGGTATTTTCCTTAAACACAAACGGTTACACTGAGCAACTTTTAAACTTTTAAAGCAATTTTCCGGCGAAATGCAGCGTTCCAAGCACGAGGACAAAGATGAGAGCGCCAGTGCCACAAGCAACTTGAATTCAAGCACTGGCAGCAACAGCAACGATGCTGCTGCAACTGTAGTCACCGCCTCAGCGGCTGCTGCCGTTCACAACTCCACGCCAGCGAATGCCACTGTGCAAGCGTCGCACTTGCCGGCTCCAGCCCGAACCCCAGCCGCAGTGCCAGTGCCAGTTACACCGCCTGTGGCGGAGGCTGTGCCCAAGCCAGAAGTAGGCGCCACTAGTGATGCCCAAGATGTGGAATTCGGTCAGCCAGGCCAGCCGCCTCGTCGGTTCGATGTGTGTTAAAAGTGCAGCAAAATGAAAGTGAAGCGTGGCTCTGGTCACAAGAGTAATTTTCTCGCATGCAAGAGTTGCCAGCAAAAATGTAAGTGCCCCCGCCATCCAACTCAATGCTCGCCTGCACACTTTCCTACATCTATGTATTTGTTTATGCATTTCCAGGGCATTTTAACTGCCTTCCGCTCAAATTTGATGTCCTGGCCGTTGCACGCAAGAAGTACAAGTGCCCGGCTTTCCGCTACTGCCGCGTTTGCGGTACTAAGGGCAAAGATCTGGCCATCTGCTCTGAGTGCGTATATTCCTACCACCGCGATTGCCATGATCCGCCATTGGCCGCCTCTAGTCATGGCGAGAGCCAGTGGAAATGCCACGGCTGCGAGTTCGGCACTAACAACCATAACAACTATTCGGCCAGTAAAGTTTCTGGACGCAAATCACATAGGGGACGCAAGAGGCGCGCCCAGTCGGATCCCGCTGGTCAGGAGCAGTCGCCACCAGCCAAGCAGGCAAACTTCAGCAAGAATCGAAGGAGCAGTCAACAAAAGCAGACAGCTCTAGAACCAGCCACCAAGAATGGTGAACCAAAGGAAGAGGAAAACTCAAAAAAGAGAAAATCGAGGGCAAGGGCGACAGTGAGAGTGAGGGCGAGAAAAATCGTATGTCTTCGGATGAACTTAATGTGTCAATGGAGCCTTTTGTAGTTGAGGAGATCAACGAGGAGACTAACGAAGAGCCAGAAATAAATCTGGATGAACCTGTACAAGAACAATTTGATGAAAATGGGCCAGAAAATCAGGCCGAAGGAGCTCTCCCCGAGGGAGAGTCAGAAATGCCGCTGGAGAACATGGACTAGCAGCCATTGGAAGCCACTGCCAGCGATGATGATGAAATCATTGTTGTCATTGTTCAGCTGCCACCAGAACGACCAACGGATGCAGAATTCGTTTTATTTGTTTTTTTCGGATGAACACGAAAAGTCTCCAAATTTTTAGTTACATAAATGTTCGCGTTTATTAGGTTTTATTCTCAACTCAAAGACAATAATTTTTGTGTACGAAAATGTTTTCGATACAGAAATGATGATACTGTCTTTCTCTAGTCAGAAGTAGACAAATTTCCTACATCGTTTCTGGAATATTCCCTGAAGGACATATAATTTAAATGTACATTTAGCGTAGCCTCTGCAGGATTTCTGAAAATGTATAAAACTACACAAGCTAAATTTAAATTTTGGAAAAGGATAGATATTTCCCTCTAGAGGAATTCTGAATATGTATACCACGAATCGTGAAGAAAATTTAAGTTAAATATAAATTAAATGCAAAGAAAGAAGAAGTTAAGAAGTTAAGTTTGTCTTCAAGAATTCCAAAAATGTATAAAACAAAGTCTTAAGGCATTTCCGATTTAATAAACGTTAAGATATTTACCTGTCCAGAAACACAAAAAAGGTATAAATCGAATCCCAAAAGGAATGAATTGTATTCTCACAACGAATCCTGAATTAAATTTTATTTAAATCTAAATTTAATTAAAGGAAAGAAATGTACCCTCTCCAGGAATTCTGAAAAATGTAAAAAATGGAACCCCAAAGGAAAATGCAATTTTTTTCGGTTCAAAATGAAAGCAAATGTTCCGCATTAAGTACGCCTTAATTGAATAAAGTCATAAGCTGCCTCTAATACAGGCAAAGTGAAGAGTGAGCCGATCGGTGCGTGGTGGGGCCTGTGCATGGCCCAACAGTCGGTTGCATGGAGGACGGGCGTTTGGTTTGTGGCTAGATGCGGTGGGGCGCGTCCTGCGGTTGTCGTATCGTATCCTGTCTGAGTATGTCCTATAATGTGTCTGTGTGTGTAATCAATTATGCTTTTTATGTCAAACGCCATGAGCGAATGATCCAGCGAAAGCAGGAGTGACAGAGAGAGAGAGAGAGAGACAAGGAGGCGTGGTAAAATGGCAAAGTGTGTCCATGAAGCGGCACAAACATTAGCATCAACAACAAGCTGCGCCTCCCCACAGTTCCTGTCATCATTCAAAATTTAAGGTTAATTTCATTTGGCAATTTTCGAACGAAATGAAATCACAAGAAATTAATAAACACAAATATAGAATCAGAATCAGAATCCGAATCAGTATCCGCGCATCAGTGAATATTTTGTCACCATAGGACTAAAATATTTGCTTGTTCAATTTCATTTAATTTAATTTGAAATTACTTTTATTGGCTCATTTGCATATCCGACAGTTGCTCTCTGTCTCTGTCTCCGTCTCCGTTTCCGTCTCTCCTTTCCGGCGCTGTGTCTCTGTGTTTCCTTCAGCACTATTTGGCCTTGGCTTTTGGGGGCCATCATCAGCATCCTCAGATCCATTGCCATTGCCATTGCCATCTTAGCCGTCTTCTATATCATCATCATTGTCATCATCTTTTGTCGTCCGCCTTGGCTCTTTATCCTCGGTTCCTAATTCCTCAACGCCGCGCTTAACGTCCATTCATCTTCATCTTCTTCATGGCTTCTAAGCTTCGCCCCTTTGTTGGGCTCTTTTTCTTTCATTGGCACTCGCCCTCCTTGCATTCTTTCCATCTTGTTCGCCTCAGTATGTGTTTTAGGCAAAAGTGTCGAACCTTTCAACGTTTCAATGCTTAAAATTTCAGCAAATATTTTGTCTACTTTGATTGCATTGCATTGGTTGAGGGATGCTCCCATATCCCCTCCCAGAGAGGGTTTGAAAAAAGAGGATAAGTGGGCTTTGGGTGGACAATCTCACATGGCTAGGCTCTGCCAGCGCCGCCTTCCAGTGCATAGTTTACACATACATACACATTAGTATACAACGGTTTCGTTTCGCCACTTCGTTTTGTCATGTGCCAGCTGCCCCAATCAACGACCTACCCTGAACTATTAGCCTCGTTAACAGAAATTAGCACACATACATAGACAGGAAGCACGCACAAACAGAAAACTGGGAAGAGAGAAACGCACACCCAACCCACCAGCCCCCCACTCATTGAGATGGGATGCCCGCATAGGAAATTATCCATGAGGAAGTGACTGAAGCGTCAAAGATAATTTGTCAGATCTGGACAGGAGTTTTCTACTCTATCAGAAATGGCTTGCACAAGAATATAAATTAAAAAAGTATTCTTTGGGGATACGGAGAGCTTCATTATCCGCAAAGCTACAACCATCGGCCATCGTTAAAGTGGCCTTAGAATTGTTTGGAAAATTGAGAATCGAAACATAGCTATCAGCCCGAAGTCGCTGCATATATTGAGCGTATACAATTGGTATTATAAATAGAAACTGGTGATTAGATAAAAATATGAGAAGTATAAGAGAAGTGAGTATCATGTAGTATGTGTCATATGGCACCAGCTGCTCAGGAACTGCCAAGAGACATTTTCCATGGGCCGGGAGTACAATGTTTGAAAACGATATATTTTCAAATATTTATAAGAATTTCTAGGCTAGACCCAATTTCTTTAACGAACCGGCACTTGAACCGGTTCAAAGAACCGTTTTTCCATATTCGTTTCACTCGCAGCCAGCTTTATGCCTTTGACTTGCCCCGGGGCGGGGCATTGTTAAGCTCCTTTAACAAGCGAAAGGCAAACGAGAAGCGAGAAAACGCGCTCCATGCTGGCCAAGGAGTAGGATGGATTCTTTTGGCGAATCCTTTCTTGTATGCATTGTTTGACTGGGATTGGGATTGGGACTGGGACTGGGTTGGTGGTGGCGCTGGCAATGGCGTTGGCGAGGGTGGTGGAGGAGCTGGTGCTGGGGCTGGTGCTAGTGTTGGTAATCAATACCGCTATGACACATGACGCGGCCACAAGCTGTGAATTGCTGCAGAAACATAGACCACATTTTTGGATTTTATATGCATTGAAAGATCTAATGAATGGCGTAAAATAATGTCGTAGTGGTCATGGTGTAATTACATAATAATAAAATAAATTACTCAATTTTATTGATTTAATTTAATTTCTTGCATTCTTTGATGCCAATTGAGACACAGACACCCCATTTACTGCCATTAATTGAATAGTATATGCCGCCTCTTAGTCAGCCACAGTTTTATGTTGCCTTGATTTCCGTTCATTCGAAGACTCTTGAAATTGAGAGGAAAAGAAGGTCACTTCTGCGTAAAGACTCCTCATTTGGGCCTTTATGGGTTCGTCAAGATTGCCCGTCGAATGAGGCGAATAAAGCTTATTTGCTGTGAGTCGCAAATTTCCCATAACCGTAGGGACTTTATTAAAACGGGGACTTTTACACTTTTACACCTGTACTCAGTCAGTATATATGTGGGGGTTTTGGTTTAATATTAAGTTTAATAAATGATGAAATATAGTATTTAGTACAAGAAATATAATTTAAGCGTCGTTCGTCGTCTGGTCTCTTTCCACAACCCTCTCACGTCGGCAGCTGGATCGAAACTCCCTCAGCCTCTCTCTTCTCGATCTGCTTTGTGCAGATGTCTTAATTCGCCATCGGTCGTGATTGCTGTTGTGCTTTGGGAATTCGCTTGGGAGCGAATTCGCTCACGCTCGTTTTGTCTAGGGATTTGCAAAACACAACCCACATCCGGCCGTCCTGACTATGCACTCGCCTCCAATGCATCGTCGCTTTCGTCGTCGTTGCTCGTGGACCATGGCTTTAGATACTCCGCACACGAAGAAGAGTGCTTAGGCCCATCGGAATTGCCAACTTTTTTGACGTCGTAAGCATTGTTAGGTTTCACCTTGATGATCTGGTACGGACCCAAAAACTTCGATTTTAGTTTCAGTCCGCTACCAAACTGAGTCCTCTTTATGGCAACTAGGTCGCAAACGTCATACTGCCTGGCTGCTTTACGTCGCAGGTTATATGTCATCTTGTTCTCGTCTTGCAGATTCAGAATTTGAGTCTTTGCTTTTGCCCGTAGCTCATTAGGGTCGTCTTCAAATGCAATGATGGACTCTTTCTGGATCAAACTCTGAAGCTGCTGGTCATCTTTGGTGCGCATCTTGACACCCATCAAAAGTTCGAAAGGTGTGGTATCGATGCTTCTGGTGTATGTTGAGTTTATTGCTCGCTGGACTCGATCTACGTGCTTAAACCATTTCGAAGGGTCGTCTATACTGAGCTTGGCAAGCACGGAGATGATGTTGAGCCTTTCCACCTGTCCGTTTACCCGTGGAAGTCCTGTAGTCGTCTTTACCAGTTTGATGTTTTCGTCTTCGCAATACTGCAGGAAGTCTTGGGCGGTAAATGCTGAGCCTCTATCTGAAATGATACAAGCAGGGTTGACGTCACGCTTTGGCTGCGTAGCTTTAATATGACCTCGTTAGATGTAGTTGACTTTGTAGGTATAACCAGCAAAACTTCGTGAAAGCGTCGATAACAGCTAGTATATATTTTAAGCTCTTGCTGGTTGATTCTAGTGGATCCAAAAAGTCAATGTGGCACGTCTGCAGCGGCACGTCATCTTTTTGCAGGGGGTGCTAAAGACCTATTTGTTTACCTCGCTTGCGATTGATTAATATGCAAGGTATATATGCAGTCGATGTACTTCTTGATTTTGTCGTCTAAATTTGGTATGTAGTACTCCTTGCAGATTAGCTCCTTCGTCTTCTTGATAGCAAAGTGGCCTCTATCGTGAGCCTTGCAGATGATAGCATATCATCTGCATATCCCTTGGAACCACCATCAATTCAGCATCTTTGACTAATTTGTAAAGAATTCCGGACTTTATGAAGTAGTCGTCGTATTGTTGATTGTAATCGCTGATGAGCTTCATGATCGTCTTCAAATGTTCGTCTTGTTTTTGCGCCTGTTCTATGCCAGCTAAAATGCTTCGGTCACTTATGTGCATAACGGGATATCGTGAGAGTGCGTCCACGTGACGCATTCGGGATCCTGCACGATGCTCAACTTTATAGTTGTACTCCTGCAAAAGCATTATCCACCTGGCCACCCTTGTACATAGATTCTGTTTCTCTAGTGTTTTGGTGAACGCGTTGCAGTCCGTTAAATGGTATGCCCAAAAGATACATCCGAAATTTCGTCAATGCCTCAATGACCGCAAGTATTTCCAACTCATAGCTAGTGTATTTGCGCTGCGCATCCGGCGTTCTCTTGCTCATGTAGTATACTGGATGCAATTGGTCATCGTCTGGTGATTTTTGCATCAACACGGCTCCAAAACCGTCTATGGATGCATCCGTATGGAGTTCTGTCTCGTACTTCTGATTGTACATGGCTAGTACTGGGTTTGATGTCAAACATTTCTTCAACACGCCAATAGCGTTCTCTTCGTCTGGGCCAATTACAAACTTTGCATTGTTTTTTGTAAGGTCAGTCAACGGTCTCGCTATAACCGCGTAATTGTAGATAAACTTTCTAAAATAGCCTGTAAGACCCAAAAAACTCTGAAGCTGTTTCAGTGTCTGCGGCGTCTTGAACTTAGAAACGGCTTCAATCTTCAACGGCGTCGGATACAGCTTTTTATTTTCGATGATATGGCCAAGAAACTGGATTCGTGTTTGTAAAAAATGACACTTTTTAAAATTCAGCTCAAGCCCATACTCTTCACATGTTTTG